TCAGTGTCATCACGTTTTGTGCGATAGAGACGAATCAATTCGGGCGACCCGTTGTTCGGCATCGGAACCACTTTGACAAACGCGGCCGACAGTGGACTCGACGCCTATAGGAATCGGTTTAAAACAATACAATTAATAATGAAAAAGCAAACAATCATCTCATCGATGGTTTTACTTTAGTAAAGGCGAGAAAACTCTTGCAGTGAACGGACCAATGGCTGAACAGATACGACAGTATCTGAAGTACGACCACAACCGCGACAGCGATGAACCAAATCTCTTGCGATTCCGTTTGGGAATAATATGTCAACCAATTGTAGATTAAGATAATATATATGGACACGAATGGACCGAAATAGCCGTGAAGAACTAGCGGTCGACTGTTATAGCACTCGACACTCTTCACCAATTGGTCCGAAGACTCGCGAATCGATTCCATGGCTACCGATTTGGTCCGCGTTTCGCTTCACCCGTCGATGTCCTCGAAGTGCGGCCACAGATGACTGATCCGCTGACCAGATGTGTGTCTGTGAGTGATATTTGATCACAAATTTTACTCGTGAGTCGTCGACACAATGACAATGAAATCACTGATTCATTAAATCATCGCTTAATTGGGTTTTAATTACAAATTAATTGTCAATTTAAATATGAATTAAATATTTATTTTTTTGTTTTAATTTTTCGCTTCAAAAATAATAATGAGTTGTGTTTTCGGCTAATATTTACAAAAACGTAACGTTTGTTGTGAACGACTCTTTTGCCGGTTTTTTACTACTTTTAATTCTCAAATATCACTCGCTATTAGTCTATGGCTTTAATCAGACAAATAAATTCAATGAGTTTGCGATAATGTGTTTGATTTGACTTAAAACTTGGTTTTGATTTAATTTAATTAATTTTTAACAGCATTTTATTGGAGGCATATTTATTGTATGTAACGCTTTATATGAATGGTTCCAACAATGAACAGCTCACACAACAAATTGCCAAATATTTAATGAAACAAATACAAATATAACGTGACAAATATATGTAACAATTCTGCCCCCAATTAAAATACAAAGTAATCTCAACGCACAGAATATGACACAATCAGTCCCTTTATCTATCATTATATGCACGCAATATATGAACGATTCGTTTAAAGGAAAACATTTGTGAAATTTTATTGATTTTTATGAATAAAAACACAAAAAATCTCTTTTAAATCACATTTTAATAATTAATTGAATTGTTTTGTGTTTTCAATCGATTCACGCATTCATTGCTTTTATTATACATTTGTTTTTGAATTAAAACATATATTTTGTTATTTGAGTCCCAAATGTCTGATCCTTTGGACGAAACAAATGTCTTGAAATTATCCAAAAATGGTTTGTATTCGCGTTAAATCACTTATACATGTCTTATACCTCTGGATCTGATCTCACGTTTGAAAACAGAGGCTAAAGAACTGCTCCAGAAGTGGAGGGAAGAAAATACGAGAAACTCGGAGTCCGTCAGAGATATTTGGCTCAACACTGACTTC